ATATATATCAACTTAGCCAATACCCAACGCCTAACTGTAGTTGAGTCGCTCGTAACCTGATTTTAAAACGTTAACAATGCTCTTTTCCACTGGGACATCGTTTATATCAGGCAAGTGGAATCCCCGGCAGCATTCTTGAATTAGAAATTTAACATCAAGGTAATTTAATTCAAAATGCATTCTTTCAGACAAAAAGCTTCACTGTGGAAGGGAAGAAAGGAAAATCAGATGGGGATAACCCAATATGGCAAAAAGATGACGGATATAAAAATGACGCAAACTTCAGTGTGTAACTACAACTACCACAAAGAGTGGGGAACAGAGTAGTGCGCAACATGCACGGATCAGCCACAGCGTGAAAACCTAACGTTGGCTCTCCCAGTTAAAACCTCGGGTCTGTCACTGGGACGAGCTGCAGACATTTTGGTCCGTTTAGCTTCTGATCACATCCCATAAAAGCTCAGATTCAGACCTGAGCACTTTGGAGTTCAGCTCCACGTGTCGGGCTCTGCGGTGCTCTCGCTCTACTCCTGAGCCCTTGATGTGGTGCAGTTTTTTTCTTCTTTCCTTTTTATTTATGCAAAACAGATTTAGTGTGAAAACTTCTCAGAGAGCTAAACATCGAATGACCAAACTCTTCCTACCAGCACAGTCTGAGTTTGCCTCTGTCAGCAGTCGTCACCTACAAGTTGTGAATGTCACAAGTTTTTCTAGAGAGAAAATGTGATACTGATTATTTCGTTACCTCTTTCCTTGTGCAAAGGATAACACTGAGCACTATTTAATCTCTCGCCCTTAATATGCATCCTTTGGATGTAAGTCTGTGAGGAAAGGCTTCAAGCCTTAGATAAGCCTCTCTTCTGGGGGCACTTTGAGGACGCTGCCCATTTCCAGTCTGGCCCCAGCTACTTCCTGTGAGCTGGGGCTGTATGTGCCCTCTGATTGACGCTTCTTTCGTGCTGTCATGATGAGAAAAAACACCACCAGGATGGCCAGTAAGACACATAGAGTGGTCAAAGGGATGGCCACTGCCAACCATGGAACTCGCTCTGTTTGTTCCTCTTTCTGCAAGAGAACAGCACAGACCAGCTTAGTTTGAAGTGTGGATGAAGACTGAAGCACAGTTTCAAGCACTGCTCTGGAGGTTTAATCACATTTTCTCTTGTAGCTAAAGGAAACCCGACTCAAATAAAGGCATTTTTACCCATTGAGCAGAACTAAGCACATTAACTTACAACTAGTTTTGGTGAATGGAGCTGTGTGTCACTTACATCGCTATCGCAAAGCGTGCCGGTGTATCCTGACACACACACACACTGGAAGTGGTTGAGTCTGTCCAGACAGGTGGCACCGTTGAGACAAGGGCTGGACTCACACTCATCTATTTCTGTCTCACACCTGAAACACATCAGCAGGTTTTAGCACAATACTGACTGACAGAGCAGCAGCTCACATGTGCACTTCTGACCTTTCTACTTAGATGTGCTTCACATGTACTTTTAAAAGTGGAGGAGGAGTGTGTGCAGTGTCGTGCTCTTACCTGTCTCCAGCATATCCTGGCTTGCAGGTACAGTTGCCCCCAGAGTCACCTCCAATACAAACTCCTCCGTTTAGACACTCAGTGTTCGCATTGCATGCCACAGGAGGAAAACGCCATCTATTAGACACACAAACACATTTTCTCAAGGAGGCTTTCGACAGCAGAGCTTCAGCTAATGATTATTTTTAGTAGCTGAAGCTCATCAGCTCTTCCGGTTATTGGATATTTTGTTCCGTAAAACACAGGACTGGAAAAACAGACTGGAAAAACACGTCTTTCAGAAGCTGGAACCATCAAATGTTTGGCATTTCTGTTTGTTTCAGATGACACTGGCAGATTATTCATGTTGATCACCTAGTTTACTAATTTTTATAGAGTGTTTAAGTGCTATTCTAGTAAAAAATAATAGTTTTCAGGGCACATGTATATTGAAAAAAGGATAAAACACAACGTTAAATGGTAAGTGTTACCTGAAGC